TACTAGCTATCAATATCACTCCTTGAAACGCAAGTGGAAGAACAGTCAGAGTCTATATTAAGTGTCTCCTCATAGGGTGGAATGCTTACCGAAGTACTGTTTATATCTGCATTCATCGAGTTCTCAGGGAGTGAGCTTAGATCACGCTCTGAATTTACACGATTTTATTTGGTTCTCCTCTTTAAATTATTACTATATCTTTACACATCTTGTAATTTGTCCACAAACATAAATAACACCAAGTGCAATGCAATATGTGCAAAAATAAAATGATATTATTAGAATTATATGATGATATATTAATAATAGTCATCATAAATTATGGAAATAGAGGGGGATTATGTATACTGAGGCAAAGTATCAAATAGGTGGTGAATTGAAAACAACAACAGATATGGAATTCCATTTTTTTAAACAAACCCATGCTAGGAGAATCGATTTTGGAGTAATCTCACCTGGAAGAAAGATGATCAAATGATCACTTCATAACTTATTCTTCAGAATTCTCGAATGGCAGTAATTGCTGCCACATTTTAAAATCTCAATTTCAACCATCTCCTAAATTCATGCTTGAAAGATTCCCCGCCCAAAATTCTTGCAAAAATCTAAGCTTCTTCCATTAATAAACTTTCAACCGTTTTCCCAAAAAAACAAAAAATTTCAGCCATCGTATACTAAATAATTGTCTAAGGAAAACCATGACAAAGTCTTCATCTTTCTTAATATATGTTATCTTCTTCAAGTAATTGGCACAAAGTTTATGTTTGGCTGTAATACCCTTAATTTTAAAAAGATAGTCCAAGGATAGTCCTGGTATTTTGGTTAATTATTTAATTGCATTTTTTGTAATTTAAATTGTTTATTTGTTTGATATTTGACTTAATTGTGAATTATTTGAATTATGTTATTTAAATGACTTGTTTTATTTAATTGTATTTTTTTTTTCTTTTAATGCGTTAATTGGTTTACATTAGGGATTGGTTAACGTTTAATTTAGGGTTTTGTTTTAGAAGTCACGTATTGGTAGCCGATGTAGATTATAAATTAGGTTTTCTATGGGCCGACTAGGATTCAGTGTAGGGTTTGAATTGAACTTAGGTATTATGTAAACCTATAAATATACGTGTTAAGGTTCTGCCTAGGATTTTAGAACCCTATTCACGACTGTGGAAGCAGAGAGAGAACAGAGGAGGGATTATAATAGTTTGCCGGAGTATTTAGGAAGACAACGGTGCAAGGTTTCAGACTGAGACCTAAAGGCAAGTTCTAATCCTAACTCTCTTCCTTTGACTTGTGTTCTTTGCATGTCTAATACAACTCCAGGAAAACAATAAGGATTGAAATTAAACTAAATTTTAATGTCTTTGTTGTTTTAAAACTAATTGTATTCGTAAGTTGTGTACTGCTCGTTTTAAATGTTTTCTTGTGTAACACATAACTGAATTCATGTAAATTGATGTAAATAGGTTTTAATTAGTCTAAAACACGTGGAAAAACACTAGAATTAATCTGGATTACAGAGTTGAATGTTTTAAACGGTGAGTGTTCATGAATGTGTAATTGCTCGTTCTAAGTTCTTGTTACAATATTCATGTTTCGATGGATGTCGGTGAACAAATAAAGAATTTTATTGCCACTTGATCACACTAGAATTTAGTTTAAATACCTAGGTACCTTAGGAGTGGAGGACAGTTCGTCAGAAAATCGTCGGACCTAAAAGAGAGGAAGGAACAGAAGGAGAACCGGCTTTCGTTGGAGGGGAGCAGGCTACCCTAAGCGAAGAGTAGGCTCCCTCATGGAGGGAGCTGGCTCTAGGGGCCATGGAGGCGGCTCTCCCTTGTGGGGAGCCGGCTCCAAGCTTGTGAGAGGTGGCACCCTCTTTGAGGGAGAAGGCTCTCTCATTTTGTTTTTATTTTTCGTTGTTTCTGCGACCTGTTTGGCTGTGGTACTTGGATTTTGGGGTTTTCAGATTCAGGTAGAAGCTGTATTGGAGTGTTTAAATTAAAAAACCACTTTTTAGTTTTTTCAAAAGGTTACACCTTTTCCCGAACCATCATAACCCATAGTTGCACCCACTCGAAAAGGCACATTGCAACCTATTGGAATGGATGTGTCTATTGGTGAACAGACACCATGTGAACCATTGCAACCTATTGGAATACATGTGTCTAGTGGTGAACAGACACCATGTGAACCATTGCAACCTATTGCAATGGTTGTGTCCAATAATGAAGAGATACACCCAATCCGAAAAGGCATTTTTGTTTCTATAAATACCCCCCTTTGGATCATTTGCAAGTTGTTCAATTTTCATTTTCTTCTATCTCCCTCTATAGACTTGAACCTAACCCAAGTAGGTTCAAACCATAGGTTAAGTGGTCCGAACCACTTCGACCTTAATCCAATTTCATCGAGCCATATTAAGATTGGTCCGAACCATTTGATTCGGATTACATCCAATTTAGCATTTATATAGTATAGATGCATTTTTGAGTCAGAGAGAGTATTACACGGAGAAGGTTCGCCGTATCTACGAGTTTGTAGTGCTGCTACTGGTGGATGTAGACCGTTGTATCCTGGGAGATAGACGCCACTGAGTCAGTTAGCACCATAGCGGGGCAAATCTGTCTTAAGGTAATTTTGGGAGCTCTGGGCTTTGACAGAATTGAATATAGGGGAGTGGACCAGGTGTTTTATCATCGACTTGAGTGGTCATATAGGTTTGATCGAGCCGTTATTTGATTACCGGAATGTTATATGTCTTAAGGAGGATGAATATTATGAATTACCTCTGGATCTTCATTTTATTCTTGTTACCTCCTTAAAAAAAGAAGAGCTGGTGATCTTCCATGGTGTAATACCATTTCAAAATTACCTTGTTTACAACGTCAAGACAGGAGAAGTTTCTTCATTTGTGATAGGTGATTGCTACGGGTCAAGCATCTTCGAACGCCATGTCAACAGCTTGGTTTCATGGAAAGTCTCTTAGTTCCTGTGTTTTTTGATCTCCACATACATCCAAGGATCCTATTTTGCTCACCAGTGAAGTGCCTCTTGTCAATTTCTTTTTTTCCAAATGTGTTTTGAGTACTAGTACTGTCCTAAGGAGTATTCTAATATATAGTCATGACTATTTTTTTTCTTTTTCTTTTTCAGATCACTGAGTTGTTATCTGTTATTAGAAACTATATCTATATTATCATAAATTATAGCAAGATTTTGTTTTATAAATTATAATAGAACCATTGGTTTTTGGATTACTTCATCTATTTGTTTTTTAGCGTCAATTCGATGAAGAGGCCTATGGTAAGATAAACAAGTAATGAACAACCTATCACACACGAATGAATTAATTAACACTTTAGGCTTAAAACATCATTAATTCACATGAACAATTAGAAGGAAAATCTTAAACTGATGAGAAAACAGCTTAATAAAGGAGTTGAAGCGTGCCATAGAACCTCAATCTTAGAAATCAGTGCTAAACTTATCTTTAAGGGAGACACCCTTTGTTCCCAAACCACAACTATCCAGACAACAATCATAAAAAAGTACCATAAGCCGCTACATCCGCTACCGAAGCGATCGCCACGGCCAATAGTTGTACATCAAAACTTTGAATTCGATGCTCTTGATGAATTGTTAGGCTAAAATGTATTTGTAAAATAGTACAGCAGGAGGGGGCATTGAAATTTCTTCTCCATCGTCGATCTCGACAACACCACCTCCCTGGTGGACAACACCAACGGCTCCGTCCTCGATCTCAAAACATCAACAGCCGCCGCAACCGCCACAGATCCAAGCGGCCGTTGATGTGATTGAGATCGACGATGGAGCCATGTTGTCCAGATCCACAATCGCAACGAGAACCGAACCCTTGCGGTCCCGATGGCAGTGACGATCGCTTGGGTAGTAAATGTAGGAGCAGGTTCGCCCATTGCGCTACAACCTAATTTTTAGGATTTCAAATGTAGGAGTATTATACTCAGAGCAAGCTCTGTGAAGCTCTTTTCGTCGAGACAAATGTGCCCCTAATGAAGGGGGCTCGCATGGGGTGAAAATTACCTCCAGTCAAATAGTGTGTTATTAACTCTATTTTTGAAATGAGTAGTCAAAAAATGGCCACATCATCTATTTTGGAATGCATAATAAGAAGATATTGAGATGCATTTCTACTAACAAAAATGAAAGAAATGAATTACTGTAAGTAAAATGAAAGAAATGAATTACTGTGCAACTGAAAGTGATCTTGTCGCTAGTGAAATATTGTAAATCTAAATTCGATCAGGGTTTTTTTTAATTATTTTTTTGCCACGATGTTTTTGGTGAAGCGATTTTTTTATTTAAGTATAGGCTGCAATAATAGGATCAGTGTCTTAAAGTAATGTTTGGTAGCATGGTTTTTTTGAGAAAAAAATTCAAAAATAAGTTATTTTGAACTTATTTTAAAAAATAAAATAAAATAAAATAAAATTCATTAAATAAAAAATATATTATTAAGACATTATTTGAAAAAAAAAAAAAGAAAAGAAAAAGAAAAAAAATCAAACCAAAAACCAAAAAGTTCGAATTCTTATAGAATTTCGTATCTACACAACAAATTTTAAAAACATAGACATTTGTTTAGAATAGTTACCTTATTAGTAAATAGTTAATATGTAACACACAAAACAAACGAACACGGCCGCCTGGTTCTGTGACGGTTGCGGATCCTGTGGAAGTGCCGGCCGCATAGCTTCGTCCTCGATCTAGGCTTCGTCGATCAAAATTAACTCAACGGCCGCCGGTTGCGGATCCTGTAGAGGTTCCGGCACAGCCTCGATCTCGGCTTCATCGTCAATCAGAATCACATCAACATCACCTGTGGATTTTCCGGCGGCACAGCTTCGTCCTCGAAAACAATCACATCGGCCGCCTCAGATCAAGGTGGTTGCGGATCCCGTGGATGTTCCGGCGGTTGTTGGGGAGCCAATGGAGGATGCGGCGGTGGTTGGGAGCCAATGGTAGCTGTGGAGGCTGTGGTAGCTGTGGGGTTGCTGTTGCGTGGAGGTGGCTATGGCGGTGGCGGTGGCGGTGGCGATGGCTTCGGTAGCGGATGTAGCATGAGCAAACGCATTCGCGGTTGGATCGCCCATGGGAAAAATTTAGGGTTTCTTTCAGAGGGCAGTATGGTTAGGGTTTCGGAGGGGTGAGAGAAAATGAAAAAGCTAGTAGCATCTCCTTTTACATACTCGCAGCGGGCTGGAAGACAAATGGCCCAACCCCGGGCCTGGCCCTAATTAAACGGGCTCACATGGGCTCAAATGGTTTTTTTTTTTTTTTTTGCCAAAACAACTTCGTTTTGGGAATTTGTCGTTTTTAAATTTGGCATTTTAAAATTGGTAAAACTCTATTTTAATTTATTTAATTATTAAAATACAACTCAACAAGACACTCTATCCGAAAGTATACCCTCCAAATGTTTCACTTTTGGTTTGAATGCCAATCATATTAACTAGCTTCATAGTCCAAAGTCACTTGAATCTACAGCTCCAAAGGATAAAAAAAAAAAAAAAAAAGTAATCAATAATGCACATTATGTCGTACTCTGTAGCATTTGAGTTTTCAAGTTTATGTCCACATTACATTTGTCACCTCATCGTAATAATTTTCTAAGTGACAAATCAATTAAGTCCCGACTTATCACCTAAAATAAGTTTTATAATTTTTTAAACTTAAAATAATAGATGCTCAAAGAGAAGAGGGGTGGCGCTCTCTCGGTCACATGTTGCAATGTAGACAAAAATCTCACTTAAAATTAATCATTAACATACTTGACATATAATTGAACTATGTTAGTATAGCATATCCTCATCCATCCAAAAAAAAAAAAAGAAAGTTAAAATAATCCCACTGAGAATTGAACCGCACGAAGTTGAAATAAGCCCAACTGAGAATGGGACTGTGTGAGCATATTTATATCGAAAATAAACAAATTAAGTCCATCATATTATAGAAGTAAAAAAGTAGCCAAATTATCAAGCAATTTTTGTTGAATATTAGTAAGAATGTACATTGGAAATATGAGGAAAATCACCTTGCATTTTTCTTGATTACAATTGAAAGAGAAATATGATACTTCTTGTTGATATCTTGCTCGTTGATAACTATACAACCGATGGTGCATGATTTAATTAAGTATAAGAAATATTATATTTAATTTCTTAAAACCAATTCTAATTAGACTAACTTATGAGTTAGGACTCAAATTTTGTAAAATACCCATTTATTTATAAGGGTTTCATAGAGTACATAAAAATGGCATTTAGAAAATGTTTTTTTTTTTTATATATATATATAATTTATTTATAAATTGTTTAACACATTTTGTTTGGCGTTTGAAGTACACAAGGATGAGCCTATAGAGTATAGACCATTCAATTCATAACATAAAATTGGGCTTCCTCAAGTCCCTCTCACATATGAGATAGAAAGTGTTGGAAATGGGGGCATTAAAAACATAAACTTTGGATGAGATTTGAAATAGATTCCGCTAATAATTTTTTGCGGATCTCTAGACGAGCGTTTTTCTCTCCGTAAGGAGATGAACGTAGTATATTTACTTTCTCAAATCCGTTTCTAGGTGAATGAGAAATTAGCTCCAAAGTGTGGTGTTTTGATAAGCTTAAATGGGTATGCAAAATGTGGGAAGTGTTTGTCCCACATGAAAAAAAAAATGTTGAAACAAATTGAAATTTAAATAAGCTGAGTTTAGGATTTGGGCTTGGGCTTGGGCCTAATTGTAAAGTCCAGATTATTCTTTTTTGGAATTTTGGATTGGGCCTAATTTTAGGCTGGGTTTATTTAAATGGGTTTCACAAATGAGTGGGTTTTTTGGGTGGTTGGTTTTTTGAATTAAAAAAACTACTTTTTAGTTTTTCTAAAAGGTTACACCTTCTAAATTAAAAAACCATATTTTAGTTTTTCTAAAGGGTTACACCTTTTAAATTAAAAAATCACTTTTTAGTTTTTTCAAAGGGTTACACCTTTTTCCGAACCATCATAACCCATAGTTGCTCCTAGTCTTTCCACTATTTGATTTCGCATTTAAATTCAAGTTGTTAATCATGGATTACTTGTAACTTGTGAATTTGTGCTTATCTTGCATTTTAGATCTTATTTGGTATACTTAAGACTGTATACTTGCTTTGTGTATTAGATCTTATTAGTATACTTGAAACTGTATACTTGTTTTGTGTATTTAGATCTCATTTAGTATACTTGAACTTGTAATCTTGGTTGTATATCTAAACCCTATTTAGTATACTTACGCATTGTATGTTTGATTTGTGCAATCGGATATCATTTTGTATACTTGTGTTGTGTATGCTTGTCTTATGCGTAATTCATTTAGCTTAGTATACTTGTGCCTGTATACTGGATTCATAAGTTTTTCATGTTAATTGTATATTTGTATATGCATGTTTAGACATTGCATAACTTGTTTAATATGGATTAGTATACTTGTAAATGTATGCTTCTATATCGTATAACATGTTTTAATATTGACTTGCATACTTGAGCATGTATATTTGTATGTCGTGGTTCAATTCAGTTACATGAGTAGCTTAGGATGCTCCCTGAGTCTAACCTTTGACATAGACGTTGGCATGAGCCCCTTTTAACATGTTTCACCTTAAGGTGATATAACTGTAAAATGTTAGGTCGATGCATGCTCATCTCCTACGAGTAGCTTTATGTTACTCACCCACGTTATGGGGACATTTTTCAGGTACAGGGACCTTGATTTGGGATGCACACTAAGCCATGGAAGTTTCGTAGACTTGAAATATCATTTTCATGAAAATGTTGGCATGAAATCCTTTTTGTAGCTTTATGTATCAAAATTTATACCTTTGATTCCATTTATGTAATGTGTACATAAGTATACTCTTTTCAATGTATTTGACATGTATAAGATGAGGCCGGAGGCCAATGACATGTATATTGCATCTTATGAAATTCTTGACTTCATGAAATATTATGAAAATAATGAAAAATCACAAGTCATTGTCTCACCATGGTTGCCTCGGGTGTGGGAATTCTGTTTTTATTCTTTCATAGGGTCTCATTAATTATGTTTGAAGTGTGGCCTAGGGCCAAACTGTAATTTTGAAATCATTTGTTAATTTTGGTTTCAAATTTCCCATTTCGCGTTCATTTTTGCCTTTTTGGCCGTTGAAGGGTTGGATTTTGTATCGGCTGTATTTTTAAGCCGTGGACCATTGTAGCACATCCTAATAGGTAAGTTACATTTGTGTGTATGATCGTTTTTAAGAAAAACTCTTTCTTTTGTGATTTGAGCCTCCTATGGACTCATTTTACAATTTTCTTATATAATCTGATTTTAAGGCATTCTGGGGTTTTCCTTCGCGAAATAAATTTCGTTCTTCACATAGTCACTTAGAAAACATGATTTGGGGGAGGGGGGTTTCTTCTTCGTGTTTTTCCAGAAAATGTTGTCTTGGTACCAGAAATCCCTCGCAAAGTTCAGCTTTTAGTTTTGCAATGTGGCAGCTTTTTAAGCCTCTGGACCAGATTTCTTGGGAGGGCATTTTGGGCATTTTATAGTGAGTATTTTTCATTTTCTCTTGCTCTATCGGGTAAAAAATTTGATTTCGGAAGGGGTTTCTTTTTCGTGTTTTTCTAGAAAAATTCATCTTCTAACCCGTTTTTGCTCTCAGATCAGGACAATCACTGTAGCAACTTTTGCCCTCTTGTCCAGTTCTGATCTAGGGGCATTTTAGAGATTTCATAGTGAGTTTTTTTCTTTTCCGATCGCATTTTTGGGTAGAAAATTCGATTTTAGGGGGAGTTTCTTCTTTGTGTTTTTTCAGAAAAATTCATTTCGGACCTCGTTTCGGCTCTCAGTTCTGGCTGAAATTTTCTCCTTCCTCGCATGTCATGGTGCATGCCATTGGGCGCCGAATGGGCCGCTGGGCGCACATGGGGCATGCCATGGCCTTCGTCGGGCCGCCGCGACGTCTCAACTTCAAACCCTCGTTTCTCCCTCGTCTGGACTCGAAATCTAGTGAACTTTTTTTTGAACTTGACTAATTTTTTGTTGTCTTTCTAACGGTGTACTCGGTTGCACCTGGATCTTCCTGGATAATTACTGGTTTACCCTTTTTGCCTTAAGTGCTTGTTTTTCTTCGTCATGCCGTTTCTCCTTCGTTCGGACTTCGAGTCACAAGATTCTTGAGTCCACCTTGATTAGTTTTTCATTGTATTTCCAGCGGTGTGTTCAGTGGCACCTAAATCCATAGTTTTAGAAAATTACCATTTTGCCCCTGGGGGCTTATTTGTCATATTTTCGATCTTTAGCTTTTGCATCAGTTCTCATTGAGAACCACAACCTCATAGAAGGTCACTTTGACTTCTTAGAGTCTTGTTTTCTGTTTTTTCTTTCGCATTTCGGATCCGTTACAGGATAATCTTTTCGGTTCATCACTGACGCACTGGCCTAAAAACTAAGGTCGTCATAACAACCCCTTTTAACTAAGTAGCCGGGATTCTAGCCTCATCAAACACTGAACTTCTCGCGCCGAAAAGTAGAGGGCCCAAACTCTAGGTTAATAATTGAATGAAAAAAAAAAAAAAAAAAAAAAAAATTGATTGTAAAAGTAATAAAAAAGTGAAGACTTCTCCCAAAAGGTGAGAAGTAAGAAATGATTAGATGGAGGTTGTCTTGATTTGTAGCCTAGTTAATTTGAGCTTGTAAGTCTGTAGAGGTGTTTGAACGCCTAATGTGTAATACCCCTAGTTTTCAAAAGGATAAAATGGGAATGGGAATTTAATTTTCAATTTTGATTTGTATTTCATTTTTTTTTTAATTTAATAATTGGACTTAATTGTTATTTGTTTTGCTGAATTGCTTAATTATAATTTATGCGTTTAATTTAATTGTTGAATTGAAATTGTTTTAATTTAAATTATCTGATTAGTTTGTGGTTTTACTGTAATTGTTTTATTTGTGAGTTAATTTAATTATTTGATTAATTTATGGTTTAAATGGATTATTTGTTTTATTTGGTTTTATATATAGTGTAAATTTAGGGTTTTCTTTTGTGAGTTTTAGCCGTCACATGTTAGGATTGGAATTAGGGTTAGGGTTTTATAGACGGCTATATATATTTATGTTCTTTTACG